CCTTTGGAGAAATGTCTATTCAGATGCCCATTTTAAAACCGGCTGTCGTGCTGAGGTGTAAGAGTTCTTTATATATTCTGGATACCAGTCCCTATCAGATACATGATTTGCAAATATTTTCTCCCATTCTGTGGGTTGTCTCCCACTTTATGATAGGGTCCTTTGAAGCACAAAAGTTTTTAATTTTGATGAAGTCCAATTTATCTATTTTTTTCCTTTTGTAACACTTGTGCTTTTGGTGTTATATCTAAGAAATCACTGCCTAATTCAAGGCTGTGAATATTTATATTTATGCCCATATTTTTTTCTAAGAGTTTTATAGTTTTAACTCTTACATTTAAGTCTTTTATCCACTTTGATTTAAGTAATATAACATGATGTGAGGCAGGGTCCAACTTCATTCTTTTGTATGTGGATATCCAGTTGTCCTAACACCATTTGTTGAAAAGACTATTTTTCCCCTCACTGAATGTCATGGCACTCTTGTTGAAAATCTGCCTTACTTTTTAATAAGAAAGAAAACCTGAGCATCACTATACACTTGAGGAAAGTTTCTAACATGAAAGAAGGGATGAAAACAAATGATAACAATAACAAAAACCTATGAAAAAACAATCACATTTTTTTCTGAACCAAACAAATCAATAAGCTAACAAATAATGTTAGAAAACTATTAATATAATTCATCATATTAACCAATTTAAGGAAAGTGAATTCAAGACTTATCCTCTACTCAATGAAATAAGAACAGATCTTCCTTAAACATGATTTAAAAAGTTTTTTTAATCATCAGCAAAAGTGATAGTTTTGATATTTTCTAATTTTTATAGCTTGAATTTCTTTATCTCACCTAAGTGCATTGGCCAGTACCCCAGAACCATGGTTAAATGAGAGGAGTGATAGTGGCATCCTAGCTTCTGACTTTGGTGGGAATGCTTCTAATATTTCTTCTTTAAGTATAAAGCTAGCTTTTGGTTTCAGCCATATATATCATGGTTAAGAAACTATCCATTTATTCCTATTTTACTGAATGTTTATATTTGATAACAATTATCAAAATTGTAAATGTACATTCTATATAAATATATGTATGTATCTGAAATGATGTATGTAGAAGGTCACATACAATGGTTTTACACTGGAAACAACTTTAAAATCCACCAATAGGGGTTAGTTATAAATTAAGGTTTATCCATACTTTGGAATTCAGTGGAGGAAGTTCTTTTATGTCCTGATATGGAGAGCTCACCCAGAGAAGTTTCTGAGGTGAAAAAGCAAGATGCAGTGTTCTCCTCTGTGAAACTGTGGCAAAAGAAGTGTCTGTTTTAGCATCCACTAATGGCTTCTCATTCTGATTTTGTATGTTTCCTTAGGAAAATGTGCATGTTTTACAGCTCTACAACTAAAGCAGTATTCTGTGTCTCTATAGCATTCACATCTTTAAAGAATATCTTTTAATTTCATTAGTAGCTAATGTTTCAACAGCCTCGAAAACTATAAAATTTACAAAGAATGTGATTTTTGAACGTATGTTAGAGCTTTAGGATGCCTTGCAAAGGAAAATAGACAAGTTCACACCTGATCTATTTAATTTTAAGAACCAATCAATTCGACTGTAGCAATCAACACTGATGGTGAAAATGGTGAAATGGCCACTGGTATTTATATAAAGAACCTGCAGCCACTTAAAAATGTGGCCACAGTTTGTTGAAGAAGGTTGACAGTCAATTTAACTAGTGCTTTACTTCCGTGAACTCCTTATCTTATTTAAAATTTTTTGATAGTCTAGAGTGATTGAGCAATTAATTTGTTTTCCAAGAACAATCACTGTTTTCTCCAAGTCCCCCAAAAAGATGCAGAACAAATATATTCAGCAATCTGTTGTTAGTGTCAAAAAGGGTGAAAAATGTGTTTGTGCTTGCACCTGATTATGCTTGTTCATAAATAAAAAAATTATCTGCAAAGATAATAAATTAAAAACTCAAGGAAATAAAACCCAGAAAATAGAAGAAGATAAAAAAATGAGTAACAGGAGAGAAGAATTATGAAAATTATAAAATCAATCCAAAGAAGGCCTAACATCCAAACAATAAGTTACAGTGAAAGAGCATCAAATGTCCCAAAATTGAAGGACACGACTATTTAGCTGAGAATGCCCAAAGTATATCATCATAAAATTTCAGAATGCAGGGATAAAACCTTCCAAATGTTTCCAAGAAGAAGAAAATAAAATCACACACAAAGGATCAGCAGTAAGAATGTCTTTGGATATCTTGGCAGGAATAACTTCAAATTTTTAAAATTTCCAATCTGGTTCTACATTCAGTTAAATTGTCAATCAAGTATACAGATAGAATAAACACATCTTCAGACATGCAGGGTCTCAGAAGTTTACCTCTTAGGGAATTCTTTTCTCAGGAAACTATTAGAGGATATGCTCCACGAAAATGAGAGGGAAAATCAAGAAAGAGAACAGAGACATGAGATCCAGGACACAGTCAATACAAAAAAAAAGGAGACAAAAGGAAGTATTAGGATGATGGCAGAGGCAGCCTTAAGACAATAGCTGTTCAGCAAGGCTAGAGGGCAACCAATTTAGGCTAGAATAGGATGGGAGTGTTCAAGAGAGATGTCTGGAATGGGGAGACTAATCTCGAATGGGGAGACTATGTGGAAACTAACCTGAGAGGTACAGAAAGAATTCGTGAGAGGCACACAACTATTGCAACAAATGAAAAAATGGTGGCAATTATTTTATCTATAAAAAGAGAAAAGTTATAAAGAAAAACACAGCATAGAAAAAAAGAGCAGGAAGAAATTCATCAATAGAGAATATTTTATACAGTCATGCATCACTTGACAGAGATACATTCTGAGAAATGCATTGGTAAGTGATTCTGTCATTGTGCAAACATCACAGTGTACTTACACAAACCTAGATGGTATAGCCTACTACACACCTAGGCTACATGGTATTAACCTCAAGGGACCACTGTCACATGCAGTCCGTCGTTGACTGAAACGTTATGTGGCACAGGACTATTGTCATTATAGCTACAAAATTATCAAATAGTGTTTTAACCAAAAATTGTGATACAGGGAGAAATAAGGGTGAGGATGCAGTACAGAGTGTTCACGTGTGCTAAATTCTCATCTATCATAATAAGAATTTAATAAATTATGTCTAAACTTGGCAAAACAACATGGCAGTATCCACATATTTAGAAATAGAAGAAACAGCTAGAAGAGTTCAAAGCTATCTCTGTGGAGAGGAAAAAAAGACTGATTTTTTTTCAATACTATTTGACTTCTGAAAATAAGTGCATATATTACTGTGATTAAACAAAAAAAGAAAGGGGGCTGGCCCCGTGGCATAGTGGTTAAGTTTAGCACACTCCACTTCAGTGGCCTGAGTTCATGGGTTTGGATCCCTGGCGCAGACCTATACCACTTGTCAGCCACACTGGGAGGTGACGCACATATAAAGTGGAGGAAGACTGGCACAGATGTTAGCTCAGGGCGAATCTTCCTCAGCAAAAAAAAAAAAAAAAAAAAAGAAAAAAAAGCTAGTATATATTGAGAAGGTGCCAAATAGTGTTCTAAACTCTTTATATTTATTAAATAATTTAATCTTCACAACAAGCCTATGAAGTAGATGGTATTTTATCCCTGTTTAAAATGAGAAAACTAAGGCCCAGAGAGATTAAATAACTTACAAGATCAAACAGCTAGAGAGAGGCAGAGCTAAGATTTGAACCCAAACAATATCACTCCACAGCAAATATTCTTATTATAGTGTCACAATATTACACTAAATTGTCCTATCAAAAAGTAAAAATTAATTTTAAAATCTCTAGTTAAAAACATAAAATGTATTTCAAAAACAGTAGAATCCCATTGAAAATATTACTTCCGTGATCTTTAAGAGCCCACCCCTCACTACAATACTGAATAAAGATTCTACATTTTTGTAAAACAATAAACTCAGACTTGTATTTTGTGTTTAAAACAAGAACCATCACTTCAGTTAGGTTTTCTACTACCATGGCATTTCCCTCCTCTTGTCCTTCTACCGCTATACTAACAGCTGTCCTATAATTTATGCCTTTCTATTTTAAGCCTTTTCTTTTTGGGGAAAAGGATGGTTACAGAGAATAAAAATGTAAATGAAAGAAAAGTTTCATATAAAATTTAAAATCGTTTATAAAAAAAATAACCATTGGGAAATAGATTTGCTACATGAATGACAAAAAGGCTAATATTCTTAACTAAAGATTCATTCATATTAAGAAAAACATGAGCCAATTTTAAAAAGGCAAGACTATGAACAGACAACTTACAGAAGAGCAAATTCAAAAGGCTAATATTCAACCTTACTACTAACAAAGGACACACAATTGGGAATGAGATATATACCATCTCCTCTACCTAAGTGGCAAAGACTAAAAATAAATATAATAACACTGGCAAAGCTGCAGTGAGCCAAGCACACTCACACAATGCTTATGGTAACATAAACTGGCACAGATTTTCTGGAGAGGAATTTGACAATATGTGTGAAAACATCTTCCACTCATTTAGCCAAGAAAATAATTTAAAATGCAACAATAGTAGTCACATCAGTGAAATATCAGAATCAACTTATATGCTCTAAAATATTACTGGTGGGGAGGGGATGTTTACAAATATTATGATACAGCCAAATAAAATGAAATTCTACCATCATTAACAGTGTTTTAATAACACAGACAAACTCTTATAACAAATAAATAAAAGCAGGATACAAAACTGTGTTTATAGAAAGATCTGAATTATGTGTCAGATAAACAAACCTATGTACCTAAAATCAATCAAACGTCAGCAGTCACATTCTCTGACAACGTGCACAACTTTTTTTTTCTTTGAAATTATTTTTATTATCCAATTTTTTTTCAGTAAACACGAGGTAAAATTCTATAGATGGAAAAAGAAAAGTTTGTGTGTAGAGCAGTTTCACATACCTTGGTGGCTGTTACTGATGTAGCCAAGTTTGTAGTTTTGGAAGAGGATCCATTAGAACTTGCTGGTGGTGTCTGAGCCACTACAGGTTTACTGTTTGTGCTGTTTGTTCCATTAGCAGCACTGGTGGAGTGGGAGAAAGTAAATTTGAAGCTACCAGAAGATGTCCTTTTGGGAAGGTTTTCCTTGTCTTCACTTTCTTTTGCTGAAGGAGAAGTAAAATTTTGAACCTATATCAGTAAATATTGCTAAATAAAAGCATTTGAAAAAAACAATAATTTAAAAACCTATAGAACACTGCTTTTGCTTTATAAGAGCTAACGGAGTAGAGCACGATGTGTATGGTGATAAATCTTTATTAGCTAGAATCTTAGAAATCTCAGGATTATAAAGGACCTTAAGAACCAGCCACCCTACACTGGAATTCTATATTGCTGTTTCTAGGACACTGCCAAAGACTCATTAGCTATCTGAGTTTTCCTTTGATTGTCTCCCTGCAGCTTCCACTCACTGACTCTATACTGCTGCTCCTTAAGAACCTAATAATCTCTCCCACAAGTCAATATTCCAAATGCCTAAAGACAACGATATGATTATGTCTATCAGTCTCCTATTTCCTGAATATTCCAGGTTCCTTTATCTCTTTCTTTTATGACACAGGTGTCTATTATCCTTTAACATCTGGTTGCTACTATTTTTGTACATGATTCTTAACTGGATGCAGTACTTCAAGTATGGCCTCACTGCCTCTTTTGACAGTAGTCAGGGCAGTGCCTGTAATGAGTAACGGTAGAAGAATTTGGCTACCAAATTTGGTAGCCATTCCGTAGGACATTTTAATATGCTATTTGCTCCCCCAGGCTGAAGTAAATAGAACCTATGGCACTAACGAGTGGAAAATGAGACTGGGAACAATAGTTTCAGGGAGAATGTAATACGAAATCAATGAAACACTAACAAATTAGAAATGCCTTTAGAAAATCGCACATTCAAAAATCACAAACTTATTTATTATAAAGTCCAGGAAATGCTTTTGCCTTTTAACATATAAATTTTTATTAGACATTTAAATAATATACGCAGGACAGTATTCCCATAACGGTAATTTTTCAGGCTATAGAATTCAAGTGATTAGTTCTTTTGAAAGATACGAGTAAGAGCCTAGTTTTATAAACAAGTCAAAAATATTTGAAAGACAAGAGAAATTTTCCTTTTACTTCTCTTCATATTCTATCTTTATGAAACTTTTATAATGACTTTAAAATTTCAAAGAGCAAAGTTATTTCTTTGAGTTTAGTTTCCTTAGCTGTAAAAGGCAGAGTGCTCTGGAAAGTTTCTATGGATCTGTATGATCTCTATTATTATTGGAGATTTCAGTATAGAAAAAAAGACAAGAGTGTTCACAGAGGGCAAAGTGTAAGCAGACAATGCAATTTCTAAATACCAAAGGAAGAGCTTCATAAAATGGTCGGTTTCAAGAAAAAACATTTTAAACATGAAAAGAACTCCCAAACAGATTTACAAAAAGTGCATAAATCTAAAAGGGCACGATTCAGTATAAAATTCATGTTTTTCTTGTTTTAAAAACTATGACGAGACCTTCACACAAATTAATAATTTCTGTAATAAACAAGAGAATGCAGTATTCAAAAATTCAAAATTTTAATACCTTTTTTAGTCTCCATAAATTTTTCATAACTATCTGGAAAATCATCTTCTGGCTTAGATTTTTCCACTGGTGCCACAACTGCTTTTCCTTCCTCCTCTTCATCTTCATTAAACCACATTTCTTCATCCTCTTCCAAGGCTTTTGCATCTCTGCGAAATCTGTTACTACGCAATATAGATGGTACACTGTAAGAAATATATCACAAATATTGAGTAATGATTTAAAGTTCATGCCCAGATTAAATTTGAGAATAAATATGTATAACCAAGAGGAGCTGAAGTAATTTTAACTGAGTATAATTTATATCACAGTCACCTCAAATCATGATACAAGATGTAACAGAGAACACTCCAAAATATTTAAGGATGCTGTAAACAAAACTAAAAATTTATCTTGAGTTACAATATGGAGCAGTAACTTTTCATATAAAAGATCTGGGGTAATCCTACCCTCTTACATAACCCTGTACTATTTAACGACAGGAAAAAAAAATTCCTGGGTAAATTTCATATGTAAGATCCAAACTGCAGACTATTTCAGACGTAATTTTATAGGCTATAAGGGCAATATACTTAAACAGTACCTGTTCAGTTTCTGATTTTGTCTGTCTTTTTCTTGCTCATATTTAGTCTTCAATCCTTTGAATGTCTGAACATATTCAATCGATTCAAGTGCTTTATAAAAGTTTTCAACTATATGTGCAGTAAGAGACTTGATATCTTCCTGTATAAGTACAAAATTTACATTTCAAATATAATGCAATGCTTGTTAGGAGAAAAACTTAAAAATTTTTTTATAGTTCCAAAGCTGATCAAAAAATGTTTTTCAAAATCACCTTCCAAAAATAAATGTCCTAATTTCTTTATACATGAGCCAGGACTCCACAGAAAACTTGGAAAAAGGGAGAAGCAATTCACTGGAGCCCTTTTGGAGGACTATAAAGAACATTTGAAAAGTAAATGGATTTAGTTTATGCCTTCTATTTATTTTTTGTATTTACATAGCACTTTACAACTTAAAAAGCACTTTCACATACAATTTCACTTGATCCTCATAACAATTCTATGAAATAGGTTTTATTATCCCCATTTTACAGAAAAGGAAAATTGAGGCTATGAGAGCAGTTGGATGGCCTGATCAAGAGCACACAGCACACAGAAAGCAGATTTTGAAATTATATTTTCAACAAATGTTAGGTTTTAATTAATGACTCCTCATTTAACTGCTATCAAAATGGGATAAGCCTTATCTAATAATAAACACAGATTCCTCAGACTATATTACATATACAGATCTGATAAACTATTAACTTGAATTCTACTTGCCTATTCCCGCAGTCTTCCAGTGTTTAATCTTTGTGAAATAAACTGACAGTAATAACTTCTAAACTCTATATGAACATTCTAAATGGTCATTGCAAATGCATGGGTACAAAGCAGGTTCATTATTAAAAATAATTAAAGCTGTGATTCAGGACTTTAACACTAGTAACAAATATACAGGCTGCTTCTTTAAAAAATGCACCACATTCTGGTTGTATTAAGGATTTTAAGTCTTTAAACTAGTCTCCCTGGACATCTCAATCAAAAAATATGCAAAGAAGAAAAATTAGAAACCTAGGTAAAATGGTTCTATGTTGCATACTCAACAAAAAGATAAATTTTGGGATTCAATGTACATTTATCAACCACTCAAAATTATTTTCAGAAAAACAAATTCAATCACAGGAATGGGGATGGGGTTGTGAATCCTACAATTCATTTTATCAGTATCTCACCAAAAATTTTAAAGGAATAAAAATATAAACGTTAATCCCTGATTCATTAGAACAGTGTACCGTGAACCTGGGTTCAGATATTTGGTGAGCTAGTTAACTATGTTCCCTCTTTCCAAGGCTAAAGACAGTACTTCTATCCTCTTCATCCTTTTGAAAATGATATTCTTGGCAAGTGACCACTATTAGGAAAACAATCCAGTCAGCCAAATAATCTTCATATGAGAAGAGTATGTCATCAGTAGAAATCTGATTTGTAAGAAACAAAACTAGAGAACTAGAGAATTTCTAGATTTGACTTTTTTCAAGTTCTTTCTAACCATGTGGCCATTTCCCCTGGTGGAATGATTTCAGTGTGTGGGAGAGGGTAAATTTATTGTACCATTTCTACAGTTATCTGTCTTATTCCTGTTATTCACACAGAGCTCTCTCCGGATCGTTTTATGACAAGTCTTTTTTTACCCAAAACTGAGCTGCAACATATCTTCAAACGCTGACTGTGCTCCTAACCAAATGGATGCTCCTGAATAGGTCACTTATCACTTTGGGTGTCTCAAGCCCCTCATCTGTAAAATAAGGCAGTTGGAGTAGTCCGCCTAACTTCCTGGTCTCTTTAACTTAAATTCAATGATAACATCCTACCTTTTATGCATCTTATACTAATGTCTACCAAAGCAACTATTTTTCAACCTTTCCATTCATTTTTATTACTACCCTCATAATAGATCACAGAGATCACACAAATGGCATGCTTGACTGAAATGTCCACATATGCCAGATATGATCCTGAAACATTTGGCCAATAAAAAAGGAACTGAGAAGAATAGAGTAAATATGGGTTAAAAGACAATGCTGAATTTTGCAATTTAAAACATTAACATCATTAAACATATAATTACTGTACTTTACCAAGAATCCCTTAATATAAACTTACCACTCTTATAAATTCAAACAACTCAACAACAGCTGAATTCAATAGATTATACCGAGTTCCATTATCCAGAAGAGCATTTATAACTGGTTCAAAAAGATTTCCCTTGGTGATGTAACGATTATAAAATTCATCTTTAAGGCCAATTATCCGCCTCATAAAACGAAGAGCACCTAATTAAAAATAATACAGGAATAAGTTGATGATCTTACTAATATTAATTATTATACAGGTATTTTTGCATAAGGCAATGTATATGTTCTTCTCGAATAATAAGCAAAATTGTGCATTAAAAATAACTGGGCTTGGAGAAAAAGAGAGTTAGGGAAAGACCATTCAAAACCTGCACAACTTTTGTAGCCAGAGTTAACAAAAAACCAGTAATTGGTATCTGGGAGATAAATAAACTACGTAAGCAGGTAGCTCCATGGCAGAGAGATTAAAAAATATACAAAAACCATAGAATGCAAATGCTGGCAGTACTCAGCAGCAATGCTGGTGGATGCAGAGACAATGCAGTGAAGGCAGCTCGGAATCAGTGGGGCGCTGTCACTAAGGTGGGCACAGGAATGGTGCAACCTGCCAAGAGCCAAGATTCCCTTACCTCTCTGGAGGAGGGAGCTCTGGCAGTAGGTGCTTCTTTTAAATTTTCTGAAAATACAGCCAAAGGGGCTCCTGCTATCAGTTTAACAGGAGAGCTACAGATTTTTCACTTTTCTGATAAAGGCTATAGTTCCACTCCCACTATTCCAGCTCCCTTTGCCCTGGAAAAATCATCTGTGAACCAACACTACCTCCACAATATAATAACATCATTCCCTTGTTTACCAATTGCTTATGAGCTATTTTGCCTTAGGTAAACATGTATTCTGGCAGATCAGAATGTATGTGTAAAAGAATGATAAAGTGACAAACAGTATAATTCGGCTTTTTCAAATTTTAGAATACTGAAAAGCAATTTTCCTTTTAACTAGTCTTTTCCCTAGCTAAATAAGGCTAAACAAATTTAGCAATATTATTGCTAAAATTTTTATGAAACAGAAAACACTCTAATTTTAATCTCTTATTTTTATGTTTGTTGATCCTTTAACTTGTAACCTCTCCCCTAAGTACTTTAACTTATTTTACTGATACCACTAGTCGAATCTTTCAAACACATGGTTTCTGAATTTATAAGTCAGTCTCTCATTTCAACCCTCTGTTCATGGATGAAAGTCATTAAAAGTTGTGTCTGTCAAAAAGGTTCTCAATACTATCTGAGAATAAAACAGAAACAGGCCACATAAGGTATAAATGTATAATAACTGACACTAAACAAGTGTGGAGAGAAGTGCTAGACTTATATTACCTGTTTTTATGGCAGGATAAGAAACAGTTCACTTAAAACTAAAAAGATTGAAGTTTTGGCAAAGATGTGAGCAAATCACTCTCTTACACTGTTGGTGAATGAACTGACATGCACACAAAGCTACAGTTAAAACAGCATTACTTATAAAACAGTAATGGAAATCTTGAAGCAATATAAACATTTAAATACTGGAGATCAGTTCAGTTATGATATATCCATATAAACAGGACTACTCTGGAGTCATCAAGAAAGACTACATATAGAAAGTCAGATATGAAAACCTATCATGAGAACATCGATCCTTCTAAAATTAATATAAAAATGTAATGTAAATCTAATCAGGATGAACTGGATAAAATTATTTTTAAATTATTGTGGAAGAACAAATGTCCAAGAACCAAGAAAATTATGAAAAAGAAAAGTGAGGGGGGACTTTGTAGATATTAGACTTTACAAGAGAGATACTATAACGGCATGAGAATCAACATTCCCATTTATTTCATCTAGTGAAATGAAAGGACAGTCTAGAAATAAGATGCAAGTATATATGGTAACTTACTACATAACAAAAGTGATATTTTAATTCAGTAAGGAAAATACAGTTTATTTAATAAAGGTGTTGGCACAACTGGCTATCCATCTAGAAGAGAACAAAGGTAGACTCTCACTTCAAACCATATGCAAAAACAAATTTCAAGTGTATTACATATATAAATGTAAAAAATGAAATATAAAAACATTAGAAGAAAATTGAGGAGAATATTTGTATAATCTCAGGAGACTTTCCTAAGCAAGACAGAAAACCCAAAAGCCATAAAAGGAAAAGAGACATATTCATCATCATAAAGAATTTTAAAACAGTGATATGGAAAACAATACCATAAAGGCAAAGACAAATGAGACTGGGACATTTTTTCCCCAAAACTTGACAACTTCTTAGTATCTTTAATATAAAAAGAGCTCTACGAAAAAGATAACAGGCAATTCACAACAGACAAAATGCAAAAGCACTAAAATATGAAAAGATGTTGTCAAGGAAAATGTAAATTAAAACACAAATGGAATACCACATTTTCCATCATCAGCTTTAAAAAGCAGTGCTTTTTAACATCGAGTGCTGGAAGAATGTCAAGTGCTTTGATCTTTTGGGAAAGTAATCTGGAGGTGAGGCTATATGTTAAATTAAAATTTAAAAGGAAATATTAAAAATATATACACACTTTGTCCTGGCAATCCCATTATTGGGAATCTATCTCATGGAAATAAATAAACCAATACTTAAAAGATTTATGTACTAGGCTATTTATTACAGTGTTGTCTGGAGTGGCAAAATACCCAAACAACCTTGTTATCCATGCAGCGAAGAATGGTAAAATAAATTGTGGAAGAGGCACTCTGTGAAATATTACTCAGCTGTGTTTAGGGAAAAAAAAAAGTAGTTCACACCATATCCAATGACCTAGAGTAATATTAAGGGTCTGAGAAGTGTGTTAGTATGATCCTGTTTTTGTAAAAATGAAACAAAAAAACCTATACATGTGTAAATATGTTTATGTAAATTTCTACAGGTATGGAGAAAGGAATGGAAAAGAAATAGTGCAGGCAGTTAACAGTGGCTAATTTAAGGCCTTAAAAATAAAGGAAGTAGTAGAGAGATTAACCTTTTCTCTAAATAAATGTTTAAATTTTAACTATAATTTTTATGCTCAGAAATAACCCACAAAGCTCTTTTTATTTGGAGGGAGAAGGAGGCTTCTTTATCCCTATTTGCAGGTGAAATTATGAAGAACAAAGGAAAGTTTACGGTTTGCCAAAAATCAACATGGGAGCAAATATCAGCATTTAAGTTTGATTATTACTGGTCCAAGTGGTCTATTGAGGGACTACCCATAAGTTATTTTACAAGTTCAATAAATAACGTGAGTTACACAAAAACATTTCAAGGCCCCCATCTCCAAAACATAAAGAGTCACTACTAAATGACAGTTTGATGAAGCAGATGTAAAAGACAGTAGAACTGGTTCTATTAGTGAAATGTTATCATTGCACACAGTATTATCTCAAACAGTTAAGCTAAACTGAATCTAAATGTGAGCAATATATGGGTGAGGAAGCACTATGACATATTCTTCTTGTCCTTTAAATAAAAGATTAGTACTTCTCATAATCATCTCTTTAATAGCATATACACTGCTAAAAAAATAAGTAAATTCACATGGGTAACTTCAGCTTTTATCTCTATTAAAAATGTTCCTTAAAACATTTTATAAGAATGTTCGTTTAAATTTACTTACACAAGGCCAGAAAAGTGTGCTTTGAATTCATCAAGACCAAGACTCTTCTTAGCAAGTCCTTGTTCATAATATAGTTTTTTATGTGATATGTGTGATGTTCCACACAAAATGTAAGTAGTTCCAAAATTAAGGCAAGCAGCTGTGCTGTTTGATAATTATCTACAAAGAAAGTCATCACATGAAAAGAAAATAAATATTGCAATACATCTAAATAAAGAGAAGAAAGCTTATATCCTATACTCAAAAGCAAAAGTAAAATTGTATTTCCTCCTCATATCAATTAAAGAAGCTACAGGTTTTTACTTGTTCATTAGGCAGACTCTCCAGAAGGATTATCAGTTTTATTTACTAAATAGCTACTTTCTAAGGCTCTTGTATAAAATATTTAACAACAGTAAAAGGAAAAAAGCCTCAATAAAAACCTACAAACATGACAATAAAAACTCTCATTGCATTGAGATTTTCTTGGTAATGTTTCTTTAATACGTGCTGTCATTATTAATCTTAATGATTCTATAAAAGGGTCCACAGCACAGAAGTACCTGAAACTTTTTGCCTAAAGTGGCACAATGGAAATTTCCCAAGAAAAATTAATATGCTTTCTTTAAAGACATCTTTAAGGAAAGGACACTTTTGGGTATTTGACTATCAAGAGAAAAATCTTACGTCAAGATTTCTTAACAATACTCTTTTTAACATCAAATCATGATATCTGAGAGGTCTATTGAAATAAACTAGCTTTTTCTTCCCTCAAGAGGCTTTGGTTAATACATTCATGGAATGATTTCAAACTGCTTCCTGAATATTAAAATTGAATGTACATCAAGGGCTTATACAGGTAATTACGCACACCTATTATAAATGCTTTAGGCAAGGAAATATTAAACTGTGAGGAAATTATGGAAGCACAGTCTTACAGAAAAGAAAAAATGATTGACATCATCTAGTCCAACTATTTTATTTTTCAAGAAGATCACACTCAAATATTTTGTGGAACTACGATGCTATCAGAAATAAATTAGCATTCTTTTTAATAACAGAATGGCCATTAAATATACAAAATACAATTCTGGTATTTCAAAGATCTTTTCTACTTTAAACGCAAGTAAAGAATTTTACTTGCTCCAGACCAATCTGAGTAACAGCCAACACCACAGCCAATATTTGAACTAGTCCCTTACCATTAAAAACAAAACATGTTCATTTCTCAATTTCCAAATTTTACTTACAAAAGATTTTGTAACAGTTATCTGCAGTGTTAATTAAATGTCTTTTCACTTTCCCAAACTAAGACATGAAATTACTCATTATTAATATCTCTGAACAGTCTCCTTATTTGAAAATGGCTCCACTAGGGCTCTGATGGGCTTCACAGAAAAGACAGAACGCTAAGTACACATATTTTCCATACTACCAGAGCCATATCTGGTATGTATTTTCCAAGTAGAACCAAGTGTTTACACTCAGATTCATAAATAATACTTAAGCGTAAGGACATCATGAAGACTAATTTCTATTTGGCCTTAGCTTACTAGATTTCACAAATATGTAACTAAATTCTCAACTTGCAGACATTGTCTCAAAAAAAAATGTCAGAAAACAAGCTCTAAATTGATAGGAAAAAACCAAGAATTCCAAATGGGTTCCATCTTTTATACTGGAGAAAATGGAATTTTTTCTTTATAATAAAGAAAAAAGTAAATCTATTTTTGGGTTTTTTGGTTAAAAATATGCCTTGCTTAGCCTTGTATAAATGCATTATACTCTGAGTAGAAAAAAGCTTATAATCTGTATTAGTTCATAAAATAAGAATTCATACTTACCAGGACAAATCGTGCTGTTTTTGTTAGATCCAACTATATTATCTAATAAAAAAAATTAAAATCAGCTACTTCAGTATTAATATCTCACATTTCCCTAGCACTTTACAATATACAAAGCATGTCTTTGATCATAATCTCATTTTACCTGCATAATAACCATTAAGAATTAGTTGCTTCAGTCAAATACTATACCTCTATCTGCAATCTTTTACAGAATTGGGTGCAGATGAGGAATTATTAAAAGACAATATCATAAATATTCTGATAAAAAAGTGAGATTACAACCAGAGATAAGACCAATATATCTTCTTTTACCTTGTCTTAGTCATCCTCCAACAATTAGGATACATCTCTGCAGATAGGAATTTCTTAAACTCCAGAATAATACATATGTCAACAATTAGTCATTTATCCTTTGAATTTTTTAAAAAATAAAATAAGTAGCACATTATAAGTTCCAATTTCTATGCACACATCTTAGAGCACATTTGTGTAGTGAAACACAAGAATGCATATCAGAACACTGTTTGTAATACCAAAAAGCTAGAAACAACGTAAATGTACATTAGAAGCAGAATGGTTAAATTAGAGCATACTCATACAAGAGAATACTATGCAAGAGTTAAAAATAAATGTGAACTCTAGGTGTCAATATGGATAGATCTCAAAGAAAGCACTGGCTAAAAAAAAAAAAAAAAATCGCAGAATGTGTACAATAGAAGTCAATTCATATCAAGTTTGAAAACATGAAAAACAACGCCACATTATACGTCATAATAATATAAACAAACATAGAGGAAATAAACTCCAAATTCGGCATTTCTTAAAAGATGGAGGTGGGGGTGGGGTAGAATAAGAATGTGAAGGAGTACATAGGAAACTCCAACAGTATCTGAAAAAATCTGAAAAAAATATGGCATGTTAGTTTTGATAAAGCCAACAGGAAGTATTTGGGTGTCTGTTAAACTATTATCTGTTATATTTCTGTATGCTGGAAGTGTTTTATTTTAAAATGAACGTTAAAAATGTATTTATTTTTATTTACATAAATGGAACCATTCTGCAATAAAACATTCTGCAACATGTTTTACCCTCAACTTCATATTTTTGAGAACTAGTCAGTTTACAGATCAAAATTCAATTATTGTAACTGGTATATAGTATTCCAGTATATGAATATACCACATTTTCTTCATTTTCCTACCACGAACAATGCAACAACATTCTTGTACCTGTCATGCATATGTATAAATGTTCCCTAGGATACATGCTTAGAAATGGAATTGATGGTATTATGTAGGGTGTGCCCACCCTACAACTTTGTTAGTTTAGTACACATTCTTTTAACTGACTTATCAGATTAACCAACAACCTCAGAGAATATGATCCTACACATATCTCATTTCAGTAGTTGAGTTGTATGCTTATCAAAAAGTCAGTCTCTTGCTTATGCTAGTTATGTTTGGTACTATGAGTATATGATTTAAATATTACAGGTTGATGAAATGTCATAGAACTGTAGTATCTATGGTTAACTTGAATACAGTACAACTCAATAAAAAAAACTGTTGCCAAACTAGATATATACAACTATGAATACTTAAAACCACAGTAGGATTCTGCACTCAGCTCACTTCAAAAACAACTTTAGGTGTTCACCCCACTTTAAAAAACTGAAACCACAAATCGCAGCTGATGAATTATGGGTGTAGTTTATGCAAGAAAGATAATATGGAAATATCACACACACACACAAAAAAAGCCTTGACCCTATACAAAATATCAGCAAATGAGTCAGCATTTAGAATAAATGTTTATAAAGAGTTTATTTTTATTTAATTGTTCTCTGCTTTAACCAACTTTTTTGATTAACCCATCAACTTCTGATCCCTATGTCGTGAAATTAGAGAGCTTTTACTGTATTTCCAAATTGTTCTCCAAAATGATGGTTCCCTTGGGATCTTCTAACGTAGGCAATATATTGTCTGCTCTTACTCAGAGCAGATATTAACTAGATATTAACTCTAACAACTTTGGGAACAATCTCCTTCTTTTGCTAAGTGTTTACATCTCTCTTCCTCAAGGTGTAATACTTTTTGCCACATTTTCTATATGATTCTCTAATAAAGATACTCAGAAACAAGGGAAATCATGATTTTATATTGCAGTTTAAATTGTTTGGTAGTGATTTCCCTGTCATATAAAGCACCAAGTGAACAGCCTGTTAGTTATAATACTTATTTCACTCTTTTAAAACAGAAATCATGAGCAGATAAATAAGAACCCTACCCTTTTCACATTTGTCTTCTGAAGTATTGGTCAAAAGTGGTGCTGTGAGGACATGCATACAATGGTTGTAGAAGAAATTAAGAAATTCACTTTTTTCAGTTTTCTGCAACATACAGAATTTTAAAAAATATTTTATTATCTTCATAATTAACAAAACACTTTCAAGAATTAGCAATGCAGGTCATACACAAACAACAGATATGTTAAGATACTGTGAAAGAACCAAAAAATTAGTTATATTCACCTTAATCTCATTTCTGCAGAACTGAATAATCAAATTTATTTCATATTACACATCAAAAAAACAAAAGCAAGAAAAAAGACTAGATAGTACCATAAAAAGTTTTTCCGAGGAAAACTATTCAGAACAATTTATTTTCAAATATGCTTGTCATCTGAAATACCATGAAGAATCTATCAAGCAGTGTGAGAGCAATGTTTTAACTGCTTAAAATCTGAAACCCCAAATTTCACAACGTATCCAAATTTGAAAAACCACCAAATCGATTTATGAAGCTATTAGAAACAGGATAGAATTTAGATCTATTTTTAAAATCTTAAAAAATTTTTTATTTCTAAGTTTGGATAATAATGCCTTTTGATTTTTTTGGCCACTATTTTTTACACAAGGGCCAAAAAACTGGTAATGATTTAAAAATAATATATTCTCTAAATATGAGGGAATTTTATAAAGGAAAAATGTCCCATCATTTTGAGACACCATTATTAATATTTTGGAATACTTCCTTAAGTTCTTTTTTTACAACTTCTTTTACTATGCAGTTGAGATCATTTGGTACATATTAATTTTATTGTGATAAAAAAACACAACATAAAATTAACCATCTTAACCATTTTTAAGTTTACAGTTCAGTAGTGTTAAGTGAATTCACATTAATGTGTATTAATTTTTAAGAAGTTAACATGCAGAGGCCAAGGGCCATAAAGAGAAGTGCTAACATTTTAATAAGATTTTAGCAGATTTCAATCTTGTATTTTGCCACAAATGAACTGCTATAGGAACACTACTGCTACTTGAATACTGAGTGTACAAATACCTAAGTATTTATTGTTTTACAAAATTGTAGAAATTTTCAAAAATTTTATATTTACATATAATTTATATATTTATACATAATTTATTATATATAAAATCATCTAAAACTGAGTAGACCAAACATTTTTAACTCAAAGTAATTTCTTACATTAGTTGTAGCCAGCATGTTCTCTGGATCAATTAGAGTACGAAGAAGTCCCATTAACTGAACAGCACCTCCTAGCTCAGGATCAGTATCACAAATCATTTGTTCAATTACTACATTAATGAGAAGGATATCCTGAAAGAAAACAGGGTTCCATTAGACCTGGTTTGAATACAAGACAAATATACCAGCTGAAAGAACAAAATTGGAGTTATATTGGGAAAAAAAAAGAATGAACATAAACCTTTTGTTCCTAATGTTTTTCAAAATTCTATAAACATACCAGAGTGAAAAAAAACCCACTCAAAAAAAAAAAAATGACAAAGCAGAGCATGCTACAGCTTACAATACCATCAACATAGGGAAGTGGAAAACAAAATCATTTATTAGAAATTCTTGTTCACTGGAGGTTCTAACAGATTCTATGTTTCAGCCTCAGGTATAAATTTAGAAGTTGACTAAACAAGCAAGTTTACACATCATGTGACCCCAAAATACAGATGATCTCAGCTTCTAACCAGAAAATCCTTTATAGCAAAAAAACAAAAAAGAAGAAAAAATAACCCAGTACACTATTCTCTACAGGAGGTGAGTGGGTACACATTATCTTATATAACGATCTAATGTCAAATAAATTTATTGTTACATTAGTAACACACTCTTGGGTCTTTAAAATATAAAGAGCTATAAAGCAGCTTGCAGATACAAAATTTACTTGCCTTCTGCCTGTATTTTTAAAGCAGAAGTCTTAAACGTTAAAGTTGGACACAGTGATTGTTCATGTCAAAGGAAAAAGTTTTGACATCAACTCAGTGGATTTGAGAATATGTTTATTATTGGAGAAAGAAAGGTAGTAACTGAAGGAGATGAAATAAGGGAAACTGCAAGAAATGAAGATAAATGTCTTAAATTGGGAGAATTCTGCAAAGTAATAAAAAGAAAGCTTCAGTATGAAGCACTTTTTTGTTATTTTTTTGTTTTGCCTGTGCCTCCCAAACTTAACACACTGTGTTATCCAAAAACAGTATTTCCTTCTGAAGTTGTCTGTGATCTTAAATGCAATGGAGAACCAACAAAATCACATCAGAGCATCTAACTGCTTAAAACTAGAACCCCACCCTCTACCATGTTTTAAAATTTGAACACCAATGAATCAATTCTATTTTGGCACTAGAAACAGAATAAAATGTCTTCAAAGAGGAATTATGAAATAAAAATCACAGAGCTACATTAATAAATCCAGACTCAAGCCTTATTTCAATTAGAGGGAAAAGATCAGATTCCACATTAATCTGCTGCTGTTCCTTATCCTGGTATGTTCAGCAAAGCATACTTCATATAAAAATGTTAAGATATTACAAAAAGGTGTTAGCCAATGAGCTATCTTCAGAACAATGCCATCGCATTTACTTACTTTAAATTTATGTAAATGTGTACAACTTGGATTCCACCAGTTAATTAGGGCCTCAGATAATTTGCTCAGTTATATATAATTCTCTTACATAAGTTCATTCATTTAAAATTGGGCAAAAAAAAAAAACGATGAATTTAGGTTACATCTAAATAAAAACAGAGTGACAAGAAAGACTTAAGGTATAGCTCATACACCAAAATGTCATTTCAATACATACTCTTTAAACTTTTTACTCTTGTCTTCTCTCTCAAACACAGTCTCTCACAAATCCTGATTCCATAAGTACCAATGCCAAACTCTGCTGGTCTACCAGCAGAGATAAAAGGGGACTGTGCTGACTGAGAGTCCCTTAATTTGGTGACTTGCGGAAATAAAAAAGTCAATTTAAGTATTTCATAGTGAAACAGACTGCTACAGAAAACTAGTCTTTTCAAGAGATTAAAAAAAAAAAAAGAAAAGAACTGCCTTTCTCAAAGACACGTAAGACTCCTCTGCCAAAGGTATATGCACCACTGAGTGCTATTCTTTAGAGCTTTTTTTTTTTTGATGAGGAAGATTGGTCCTGAGCTAACATCCATGCCCGTCTTCCCCTATTTTGTATGTGGGACGCCTCCACAGCAAATGGCTGATGAGTGGAGTAGGTCCACGCTTGGAATCCGAACCAGCGATCCTGGGCCGCTGAAGCAGAGCGTGCAGAACCTTAACCACTGGGCCACAGGGCCGGCCCCTCTTTAGAGCTTTTTAAGGTACCCAAACTTGAGACAGGAAGGGCACAGAGGTCAGTAGGTAAAAGGGAATCTTCAGGTTTAAAGATTATGCTTAGATAAGATCTTTAGAATCCACAAGAAGCAAATAGTTTGGAAGCCTACTAAACAGTTAAGGAAGCTTAACTGTCAAGAAAGTTTTAGAATAAACAACAGCCTGTGATTGTTCAATCTCTAAGACCACCACTGGGCCAGAGAACTCACACCAACAGCAAGTAGGCTACACAGATTATATTGAGCCCTGAAGGAAAGGCATCTTCCCACCGCCTGTCGCAGATGTAGCCACAGCTGATAATGACATAAGGGAAGGAACCTGGGCTTTGGAAGAAAATAGGCAAGGGAGATTCTTCAGAACACAGAATCAGGGACAGCTGGTTTGATTAATCAAGGACCACCAGGCACAAGGAGTCTAAGCTACTGCTCTTCAACAAATATTTGACAGACCAGTACATCACAGCAGTGAATGAATGACTGCTGTATCTATGTTCTCCCTTTTTCCAAACAAAAGGAGTTTAATTGTGATGTTGGGGGCAGATGAATTATCTTTTTGTTTATAGATTACTGAAACACTAAGAACCTTATCTGGACCTGAAGAGGACTGTACAACATCCAAATATTCTGGACGTGGTGCTGGATACAGAAGCGAATGGAAACTTCATCTGTCTCCCTTGAGGAGAGGGTGGGTGAGGAAAGAAAAGTGTACATGGATGTTAGGTAGCTATACAGATGGACTGTGGCAGACACTACTAGATGCCAATCTAGTCTATATTCTCTTTGTCCTGTTAGCAGAGCCCAAATTTTGTTCAGAGAGGCAATGCACTCAGCTAAAACATTGTATTTCCTAGCTTCCTTTGCAGCTGAGGGTAACTCACTATTGGCCAAAGAAATCTAAGTAGAAACTGCTAAGTGGAACCTTCAGGAAAGCACTTTAAAATGAAACAGAAAAGCTATCTAGTTCTCTCCATTTTTTTGCCCTTTGCCTTTCTTCTTCTTGCTGCCTGGAGGTGGAATAGCAATCTTCCAACTTCAAGTAAAGCACTAAAACCAGAAGCTTAGGATGACTGACTCAAAAGATGAAAGTCTTTCGGCATCATGGGGCTGGATATCTGAGGGCATTGTGGAGTTGCTCCTTGACTTATTGTGACCCAAATAAAATAAAACCTTTATTAGTTAAAACTATTGTAAGTTGTTTGTTCTTTCTTTTTCGTGATAAAAACACAACACTTAACATAATATCTTTACCCTCTTAGCAAATTTTTAAGTATGCAATATTGTTAACTACAGGTACTAAACTATACAGTAGATCTCTAGGACTTATTCATCCTGTATAATTGAAACTGTACCCTTTGACTAACACCTCCCTGTTTCTCCCTCTCTCCATCCCTTGCAAGCACTATTATACTCTCTGCTTCTATGAGTCTATTTTATACTCCTCATATAAACAGTATCATGCAGTATTTATCCTTCTGTCTGGCTTATTTTATTTAGCACAATGTCTTCCAGGTGCATCCAAGCTGTCAAAAATTGCCAGATTTCCTTCTTTTATTAAGGCTGAACAATATCCCATTGTATGTATTATGCATATGACAAATCTTGATCCATTCATCCGTAGATGGACACTTAAATTGCTTCTAGTTCTAGGCTATTGTGAACAATGCTGCAATGAACATGGGAGTTGCAGATATCGCTTTAAGATCCTGATTTCAATTCTCTTGGATTTATACCCAGAAGTGGGATTGCTGGATCATAAGGTAGTTCTATTTTAATTTTTTGAGTAACTTCCATAGTGTTTTCCATAGTGGCTGCACCAATTTACATTCCCACCAACATTGTACAAAGATTCTCTTTTCTCCACATCCTTATCAAGACTTGTTATCTTTTGATTTTTTTGGTAACAGCCACCCTAACAGGTATGAGGTGATAATCTCATTATGGTTTTTATTAGCATTTCCCTGATGATTAGCGATGTTGAGCACTTCCACACATACCAGTTGGCCATTTGTATTTCTACTTTGGAGAAATGTCTATTCAGTTCCTTTGCCCATCTTTAAATTATTTGTTTTCCTGTCATTGAGTTGTAGGAGTTCCTTACATATTGTGGATATTAAGCTCTTATCAGCAATTGCATACAAACTCTCTACACTTTTACTCCCCAACCTACATACTATGTTATTCATGTTAGAATTTTTCTTTTTATATTGGGTATCTATTAACAAAGTTACAGTTATTCTTAATATTTTGTCTTCTACTTTTTATACTAGGGTTAAAAGTGACTTACACACCACCATTAGAGTATTACATTCTGTATTTGTCTATATATTTATCTTCGCCAATGAGATTTATGCTTTCATATGCTTTTATATTGCTGTTTAGTGTTCTTTCATTTTAACTTGAAGAATTCCCTTTACTGCATCTTATAAGGCATGTCTAGTAGCGACAAACTCCCTTAGTTTTTGTTTGTCTGGGAAAGTCTTTCTCCTTCATTTCTGAAGGACAGCTTTGTCAGGATTTTTTTTTTTTTTTTTTTTTGCTGAGGAAGATTCGCCCTGAGCTAACATCTGCTGCCAATCTTCCTCCAGGTAAAGTTTTTTTAGTTAGAGGCTTTTTTCTTTCAGCACTTTGAATATATGAACTCACTGTCCCTTGGCCTGCAACATTTTGGCTGAGAAATCTGCTGACAGCCTTATGGGGGTTTCCTTGTATGTGGTGAGTTTTTTTCTGTTTTGCTGCTCTCAAAAGTCTGTCTTTGGTTTTTGACAGTTTTATTATAATGTCTCTTGGTGAAGATCTCTTTGGGTTGAATCTGCTGGGGACATATGAGCTTCATGTACCTGATGACACTCTCTCTCCCCTGATTTGATGAGTTTTAGCCATTATTTCTTTAAATATGCTTTCTGCCCCTTACTCTTTCCCCTCTCCTCTGAGACTCCCATAATGTATATATTGTTTTATTTTAT